ACACAGTCCTGGAGTTCCAAAACCAAACATACAACAAGCCAAAAATAGACCCTTCCTGGATCTCAGAAGCCACCGATTTCACTAGCCACACTTCCTCTCCTCTCTTGCAAGCCTAAACAGTGCTACCTAGCTTAATTTCACTAGGCAAACGCTTCCTCTTTCTCTAGCCAATAGAGTGCTGCTTTGCCAGATTTCACTAACCAATAGCATGCCACAAAATTCAAAAAGTAGCTCCTTCCCGCCAATTTCGTAAGTTGAACATTTTCGTAACATTTTCGTAAGTTGAAGCAAAAATTATCCGTAGGCGCGTTTTGTAAGTCGAATTTTTCGTAAGATGAAGCATTCGTAAGTAGAGGTTCCACTGTATGTACATAAACAAGCCCTGGATGGCAGAATTGCTACCAATATGGTGGTTCCACATCAGGGAGTCTAAATGTTAAAAGAACTAAAGTGCTCAACCAATTTTGGGGACAGGGTTCACACCTTGGATAAGAGTTGCTTTAATATGTGGACTAAACTTAGAGGGAATTCACAGTCCCAATCACATGAAAACCACAAGCCATGATTGATTATCAAGATGAGTTGATCATTTCCAGAAGAGCTCTGAATTTTTAGGATAATGTACACCTTACGTGGGACATCAGAAATGAATATATATAGGAAATGCACCTGTATATGATATAACTAGAGGAACAGACACAACACTCTCAATGGCTTAGCACTGATCTTCTCAGAGAAACCTACAATTGTAAAGGATTTGAAAAGCCAGCAGTGCTTTGAGGTAGAGGAGTGACAAACATCTCCAAGGTCTGAGCGACAGTGGGACGAAATAAATATAGCCGCTATCGAACCATTTTTAGCCTCTTAGAAGCCGTTGTCTCCAGTCTCAAATGAGCCCTTAAGAACAGAGCAAGGATGCAGAAGTCACTAAGCTTGAGAGACAATCTGTGCATGTCACATTGTTAAAGAAAAGTAACACATTTTTTTAAACGGGATAATTTTAAATCAGAACATCTGAATGTTAATACACTTACTAGTACTCTTTTCTCATACAGCGGTGGTGGTGTGTCTCTGATATATTTGTACCAGTGTTTTTGCCTGTTGAAGTAACGTTATTGCCATGTCACTGAAATGTTGAATTCTGGGCTACTAATATGGCTATTAAATGAAACCTGATGGCTATTAAATGAAATGAGCACTGATATGTGCTAGTTCAGTAAATCTTCTGATTGGGTTTAAAAGACGTATGGGTTCAACACCAACTAATCTTGTGAAAGAACCACATGGAGAAATTAACATGGCATGGTAGACCAAAGCCCCCGTCAGCAACTCCTGAAGTGTCAGAAGTGACAGTTCCACACACTTCTTTGACATCTTAGCTAGGAACTGCAAAGGAGAATAAGTCTCCTCCAGGGATGAGGTTTGGACCACTGATTCCAGTTGCTGACCCGCAAGATGGTTTTAGGGGAGCA